CCCTAAACCCTAAACCCTAAACCCTAAACCCTTAAACCCTAAACCCTAAACCCTAAACCCTAAACCCTAAACCCTAAACCCTAAACCCTAAACCCTAAACCCTAAACCCTAAACCCTAAACCCTAAACCCTAAACCCTAAACCCTAAACCCTAAACCCTAAACCCTAAACCCTAAACCCTAAACCCTAAACCCTAAACCCTAAACCCTAAACCCTAAACCCTAAACCCTAAACCCTAAACCCTAAACCCTAAACCCTAAACCCTAAACCCTAAACCCTAAACCCTAAACCCTAAACCCTAAACCCTAAACCCTAAACCCTAAACCCTAAACCCTAAACCCTAAACCCTAAACCCTAAACCCTAAACCCTAAACCCTAAACCCTAAACCCTAAACCCTAAACCCTAAACCCTAAACCCTAAACCCTAAACCCTAAACCCTAAACCCTAAACCCTAAACCCTAAACCCTAAACCCTAAACCCTAAACCCTAAACCCTAAACCCTAAACCCTAAACCCTAAACCCTAAACCCTAAACCCTAAACCCTAAACCCTAAACCCTAAACCCTAAACCCTAAACCCTAAACCCTAAACCCTAAACCCTAAACCCTAAACCCTAAACCCTAAACCCTAAACCCTAAACCCTAAACCCTAAACCCTAAACCCTAAACCCTAAACCCTAAACCCTAAACCCTAAACCCTAAACCCTAAACCCTAAACCCTAAACCCTAAACCCTAAACCCTAAACCCTAAACCCTAAACCCTAAACCCTAAACCCTAAACCCTAAACCCTAAACCCTAAACCCTAAACCCTAAACCCTAAACCCTAAACCCTAAACCCTAAACCCTAAACCCTAAACCCTAAACCCTAAACCCTAAACCCTAAACCCTAAACCCTAAACCCTAAACCCTAAACCCTAAACCCTAAACCCTAAACCCTAAACCCTAAACCCTAAACCCTAAACCCTAAACCCTAAACCCTAAACCCTAAACCCTAAACCCTAAACCCTAAACCCTAAACCCTAAACCCTAAACCCTAAACCCTAAACCCTAAACCCTAAACCCTAAACCCTAAACCCTAAACCCTAAACCCTAAACCCTAAACCCTAAACCCTAAACCCTAAACCCTAAACCCTAAACCCTAAACCCTAAACCCTAAACCCTAAACCCTAAACCCTAAACCCTAAACCCTAAACCCTAAACCCTAAACCCTAAACCCTAAACCCTAAACCCTAAACCCTAAACCCTAAACCCTAAACCCTAAACCCTAAACCCTAAACCCTAAACCCTAAACCCTAAACCCTAAACCCTAAACCCTAAACCCTAAACCCTAAACCCTAAACCCTAAACCCTAAACCCTAAACCCTAAACCCTAAACCCTAAACCCTAAACCCTAAACCCTTATTTTCCCTAAAACCTCATATATCTTAACTTCGTTTTGTCCACTTGAATAACTTTTCAGTTTTAAAATTATATTAAGAAATGTGGATGAGTATATGAGCTTCTATTTTTACTTATGCTACTCTTTCAATAAAGAATCACATTTGTTTGAAGTGGAATTGTAAAAAATTTCCAACCATTTAATGATTTGTATACTAACATTACAATTTTTAAAAGTATATTAAAGATAATATGTTATTATTCTTTCTTAGATATTCTATGAGAAAATTGTTCGATCAATTTATTTTTAAACTTTCCAATCATTAGTTTAGAAAAACATCAAAATTTATCAATTTTATCAATATTTGAGAGCTAACAAAAAATTTGTAATATTATGTTATTAGTATTCCTTATAACTATTTTACTATGAAAAATAGTTGGATCAAATTATTTTCACTTTCTACACCTTCTAATCATTAATTTATGGAAAAATCTTAAAATTTGTCAATTTTGCCAATATTTGTGGGTTAACACCTACGAGTTTTGACAAATTTTGAAAAAATTGGAATAATATGTTATTAGTCTTTGTTAGATACTCTTTTACAATGAAAAATGTTTGGATCAATTTATTTTCACTTTTGACACCTTCAATCAATAATTAAGAAAAACCTCAAAATTCATTAATTTTACCAATATTTGTGACTAACACCTACGAGTTTTGACAAATTTTGAAAAAATTGGAATAATATGTTATTAGTATTCCTTAGAACTCTTTTACTATGAAAAATGGTTTGATCAAATTATTTTCACTTTAGACACCTTCTAATCATTAATTTAGAAAAATCTTAAAATTCATCAATTTTACCAATATTTGTGGACTAACACCTACGAGTTTTGACAAATTTTGAAAAAATTGGAATAATATGTTATTAGTCTTTCTTAGAACTATTTTACTATGAAAAATAGTTGGATCAAATTATTTTCACTTTCGACACCTTCTAATCATTAATTTAGAAAAACATCAAAATTTATCAATTTTGCCAATATTTGTGGGCTAACACCTACGAGTTTTGACAAATTTTGAAAAAATTGGAATAATATGTTATTAGTCTTTCTTAGAACTCTTTTACTATGAAAAATAGTTTGATCAAATTATTTTCATTTTTGACACCTTCTAATCATTAATTTAGAAAATCTCAAAATTTGTCAATTTTGTCAATATTTGTGGGCTAACACCTACGAGTTTTGACAAATTTTGAAAAATTGGAATAATATGTTATTAATCTTGTTAGATACTCTTTTACTAATGAAAAATGTTTGATCAATTTATTTTCACTTTCGACACCTTCCAATCAATAATTAAGAAAAACTCAAAATTCAATTTTACCAATATTTGTGGGCTAACACCTACGAGTTTTGACAAATTTTGAAAAAATTGGAATATTATGTTATTAGTATTTATTAGAACTATTTTACTATGAAAAATGGTTGGATCAAATTATTTTCACTTTCGACACCTTCTAATCATTAATATAGAAAAATCTCAAAATTTGTGGGCTAACACCTACGAATTTTGAAGAAATTGAAATAATATGTTATTAGTCTTACTTAGATACTCTTTTACAATAAAAAATGTTTGGATCAATTTATTTTCACTTTCGACACCTTCCAATCAATAATTAAGAAAAACCTCAAAATTCATCAATTTTACCAATGTTTGTGGACTAACAACACCTACTAGTTTTGACAAATTTTGAAAAAATTAATATGTTATTAGTATTCCTTAGAACTCTTACTATGAAAAATGGTTTGATCAAATTATTTTCACTTTAAACACCTTCTAATCATTAATCTAGAAAATTCTCAAAATTTGTAACTTTGCCAATATTTGTGGGCTAACACCTACGAGTTTTGACAAGTTTTGAAAAAATTCGAATAATATGTTATTAGTCTTTGTTAGATACTCTTTTACAATGAAAAATGTTTGGATCAATTTATTTTCACTTTCGACACCTTCTAATCAAATAATTAAGAAAAACCTCAAAATTCATCAATTTTACTAATGTTTGTGAACTAACACTTACGAGTTTTGACGAATTTTGAAAAAATTGGAATAGTCTGTTATTAGTGTTTCTTAAATACTCTTTTAATATGAATTTTTTTTAGATCTATGTAGTTTCACCTTAGACACCGTCTAATCATTAATTTAGAAAAACCTCAAAATTCATCAATTTGACCAATATTTGTGGGCACACCTACGAGTTTTGACAAATTTTCAAAAAAATTTGAATAGTTTGTGATTAGTCTTTCTTATATACTCTTTTACTATAAAAAAAATTTCAGATCAATTTAGTTTCACTTTAGACACCGTCCAATCATTAATTTAGAAAAATCTCAAAATTCATCAATTTTGCCAATATTTGTGGGCTAACACCTATGAGTTTTGACAAATTTTCAAAAAATTGGAACAATATGTTATTAGTCTTTCTTATATACTCTTTTATTATGAAAAATGGTTGGATCAATTTATTTTTACTTTAGATACATTCCAATCAATAATTTAGAAAAACTTCAAAATTCATCAATTTTGCCAATATTTGTGGGTTTAACACCTACGAGTTTTGACAAATTTTAAAAAAATTGGAACAATATCTTATTAGTCTTTCTTATATACTATTTTATAATAAAAAATGGTTGGATCAACTTATTTTCCACGCATTTTCCAATTATTAATTCAAAAAAACCTCAAAATTCATCAATTTTGCCAATATTTGTAAGCTAACATTTACAAATTTTAAAAAATTAGAATCACATGTTATTAGTCTTTCTAAGATACTCTTTTACTAAGAAAACAAATTTGGTTCGGGTTATAAAACTACTTAGTTAGACTTAGAACTGAGAACCGTCCTCTCATAAACGGAATAAATTGTTAAAAGTACATACATGATAAAAAGGCACACATTCATTCAGAATAATCATCCTCGTTACCATCACTATATTGATTGGCATCTTGTTTCTAAGATCTACCAAGGCCTTCTTCGTTCGCTAGCCTTCTCATCTTGGAGCTCGAAGCACCAACCCTAGAATTCGAATAAACCTACATCCAAAGTCCAAAGGAATTGGCAATAGAAACACAACTTTCCACATACTTTTTTATGTTACTCGTCTAAAGGCTAAACGTATGAGTTTTACTATACCCCTGAATCTTTATGTTCTATCACTGACACAGTCGATCTGCGCCTCATAGTCACCCTTGAAGGTACCGGAAAGTGTTCAATCTCATCAGATCTTCCTTCCCTGGCCCTTCATTTCCTCAAGTTGAGCTTTGTGTGTAGGGGCTGCCACATGCTAAAGGGTCATCCCATAGTGGAAACTAGAATGTATAACAAAAACAGATGCAGGTACAGAGCTAAGGCAATACCAGATAGCTAGCAGTCCCATCGTCGAATGATACCAGGAACATGCCACGATCGTTTGCCTACAATATGAGGTAGCGTATTTAATATTCGCTACCACAAAATGCTCATCGTACCTGAGTCGAAAATTGAAGGGAAGAGTCAAACAGATTAGCATATGCTAGGAGTTCAGTGATAACTATTACTGGATTTTTCGTCCCCTAACACTCTAGCAAAGAAACATTGTAACAAGACATTGAGCAGGGAAAAAGGGGAAAATCAGGGCCAGCATCCCTCTAAAGTACTCTGAAGTTAAGACCTCAACAAGGTTAGCTTCCCCATCTACTGATTACACTATGATATAGGAACTGGAGACCTATACACATGTGTACCATACACATAACACATAGAGATAAACTCAAAAGTGTCGCCTAGTTATTTACTAATGCAGCAAGATCCGCTTTACAAGTGCCTAATGGCAGATTTAAGATTGTCTGAAAGGGAAAAGAAGGAGATCCAACCTATCAAAATGTGGCAGTAGTGGTAAAACTTCAACTGGCTGCAAGTTTTTATTGGTAGCATGAACTGGTTGATATTTGTAGGCCTAGCATCATAGAAGGTTTGGTACTGTGTTTACAAGCTATGCATCACAAAAAAAAAACAGAGATTGATACCTGTCTAGCCGATTCATTGTTAATGGAAGAAATGTATTGTGTTTTCACGAGCCAGGAAACACCTTTATCAGTTGGTCTTTCTTTTCTCTTGATGCCATCTTTCTTAATAGGTGTAACAGCATCATCCTCACGCAACAGTTCCTAATCTTCAGGGGCAAGAGGCGCCTTGAATGTGGGTGGGCTGAAAAAGCGATACGACAATAAGTATCCCAGTAGATGAGCTCGAGACAATGTATCATGTTTGAGAGATCATACTTGTACACTTAGGTCAAGCAGGTCCAAGGGTATCCCAAGATCAGGCTCGACAAAGATTTTTGGTTTCCATAATTTCTCCAGCGATGTGATGGTATAATTTCTATATATCTAGTGGGATCAAATGAGCCGCAGCACGTCTCACATACAGCTTCTTTAAAAGAAGTTCCATGGAGTAAGGCTCTTTGCCATATTGACGACGCAGGTTCTCTGTCAATTGCATTAGACTCCGCATATCTTTCTCATCTGCCTTTTGCAGCTTCATTGATGATCCCCATCGGTTTTTCAAAGGTTATTTACATACTCTGAGGGAAGCAGGGGATTTAAATTGATGTCAATCTGGAAAAACAGAGTAGAAAGAGCAATTAGAACCGCATTAATTGCTACAGCTCGAAGCATAACATTGAAACTTGAACTTCACTAGTTAATCGTAGACAAACAACAGACCTAATAACAAGTAACATATCTAGCCTTCATAATACGCTTGGAAACATTCTGAACTTGTGTCTTTTATTAATCTAAAGTCACATCTTTCTTACAAGTTTAAAATGGAAAATACCTTCACCAGAATACGGAGTTCTTCCACCTAGAAACAACCAAAAAGATTGACTCACTAGTCAATAACCAAGCCCCATTTCCAAAACAATGAATACAGAAAAGGATCATCAGTGTCAGAAGATGAATTAAGCCGTGAGCTTACAGCACTGGCAAGAGCTCGCCATTTGCATCACTCTTGAACGAACCCACCAACCATGGTTTTGCATTGCTTCCCTCTCGGCCCCAGAGATATCCAGTCACTTGTCAAGGCCGCTTCTTCTGAAACAGTTCACACAAGAGCAATCGGAAAGTTGTCCAGGTTTTTAGACTGTCTTGGGGCAGCTCTGATGGCCGCCAATCTTGCAGCATTGGCTGCCCTATTGGCGGCTGCAACCGCTCTGTTAACTCTCTCACCAACCTTGTCTACATCATAAGCCTTCGTTGCTGCTCTCCGTGCCTCCTGCGCATACAAATGTTTTTAGTTGAAAATTAGACTATCCACAAGAAGAAGGATAAAGTTGCAGAGACAAACCTGGACCGCATTGAGCACTTTGGAATGGTTAACTGCAACAGGAGAGACCGGACAGGTTGAATTTTGGGTACTTGGAATGTGGAGGATCCCATTTTGCCAATGGCCTGACTGTGTTTCTCCATTGCGGAATGTATACATTCCCAGCCCTTGCCGCCTACCTTCATGCCAAGCGCCCTCGTATCGGTGACCATTTGCAAAACCATAGACCCCGAATCCATGCATCTTGTCAGCAAAGTATTCGCCGGCGTAAACGTCCCCGTTCCTATATAGATTGTAAACAAAGTGGATAAGGCTGAGCAAAATCCCAAGGCAAACATTTGCTAAGTTACCTGAAGTGGTAATGCCCAAGACCATGCTTGACTCCCCACTTGAATTCCCCAACATAGCGACTTCCGTCCTCGCAGGTGTGGACTCCGCAACCGTGACTCTGACCGCTGGACCACTCGCCGGAGAACATGTCTCCGGTGTAGAATCTGTAAACCCCATATCCGTGGCGAAGACCCTGCCTGTACTGGCCCCTGAAACGGCTGCCTCGGGCCCAGGTCTCAACACCATAACCATCGTACTTGCCGTCAACCCAGTCACCTTCATACCTGCCGCTCATGTAATAGTAATAGACGCCGCTGCCGGAGCACTTGCCCTTGTGGAACTCTCCCTCGTAGACGTCTCCGTTGCTGTACACCTGCACCCAGCACCCGGAGCTTGCCCTCTTGTCAGATTTTGGGCGAGAGCCGATTGACCAGAAAACGGGCAAAGGGGTCCTAGACGGGGAGGGGAAGGAGCGTGCGAGGAACAAGCGGATGGAAGGGAGGCGAGGGAGAGCCAGATTTAGCGATAAAAGAAGGGCGGCGGAGAAAGCCAAGGCCGAGAGGAAATCGACAAGGAAGGGTCGAGTGGGATGGGAGAGGAGCAAGTAGGAGAGAGGGAGGAGGAGGAGGAGAAACAGAGGGAAGCGGCGGAGAGAGCGGGAGAGATAGGATTTGAGCAACAGAATCGGGGAAGAGGATGGCGAAGAAGAAGAAAGACAGGGAGTAGGAGAGAAGCGGTGGTTAAGGAGAGGACGCTTGAAAGGCGCCACCGAGGAAGATGCATCACGGTGGTGGTGATGATGATGGTGAGATACGATCTGGGGGAAGAAAAGAAGAGGGGGAGATGGGTTGAAATCGGAGGAAACGCCGCTGCTTTCTTTCCCGATTTGAGCTTCCGATTTCTTCTGATGCATCACATAAATGGGGATGTCGCTGGTCGATTTCAGAGATGAGTCGTCGAGAGAGATGATAAAACAGAACCCAATCAATTTTTTTTTGTTCAAAAGTTTTTTTCCTCATGAAGTAAAAACTAAAAAGAGACCAAAAAAGTCTCCCTTAGCTCTCAAGTTTAATTAGTTTTTTTTTTACTATTATTGTATCTATCTTATTTAATAATCCTTTTTCTCTAAATTTGATACTAGCATTATTTTGAGATCAACTTTTATCTAATGAACCCTAAAAAAAGTTGTATTCTTAAAGCAAAAATAGATTCATTTTTTAGCACAAATTATTTTATGAAAATATTTGTTTACTCTGAATAAATTACACAAAAATTTAAACATATATTTGGATTCTCTTTCTCCAAATTAAGGTCAAGATTTTTTTCCACTAAAAATAAGTTTTTTAAATCATTTTCTATTGAATTTGGTGCTACTATTTTAAAATAAACTTATGAATGTAATTTTGAAATTAATACAAAACTTAAAATTTGTTCATTTTGAAAATTTGCTCCAGATAAACAAACTGATATATTACCATCCAAATTCAAAAGAAATATAAATAAAAAACACTTTAGAGTCTTCATTAGAAAATATATAACTCCACATATATATTCAAGAAGCAAATGTGGAAATTTATAACAGCTGCTGACGAAAATGGATAGACTTTGTGACCGAGGAGATAGAGAATACAAAAGCGGCGTGATGCCGATGCCGATGCCGATGAGTGTGGAAGTAGACAATGAGTTGAACCTGACAACCCTGAGATAGTTTCGTCCGGGACAAGGGTAAAAAATGACATCTAGTTACCGTAATATGCTATGTGGTGGTTTGAAAAGAGACTGCAATGTTACATTGCTGCTATGTGATGAATGGCTGCTGCTGTTTTTATGTATTCAGCAATGTTGTAATAATTGTCTAAAAGACTGGTTATGACATTGAGCGTGCCATGAGGAAAAGAAAATGCAAGACAAGATTTAAGAAAAACACGCACATAAACGGAGAGACAGTTTGATTCAAAATATTGAAAACAAAGGTGAAAGATGGGCCTTGATTGATTTGTTAAGGAAGGCAACAAATCCAACAAGAACAACAACAATGAAGAGCCATGTTTTGATTCAAAACAAGAGAATCACTCGTAGATCCAAGGCTGAAGGCTACTCTGCCAGTTGACAGGTCCATCAGGGAACCACAAGGCAGATTCCTTGTTAGCACTCTCCACTGAGTCACTCCCATGGATCACGTTCCTGCAGAATATATATATATATATATATATAAACCCCCAAATCAATCAATTCGTTTATTTCCGGATTTAGAGAAAAAAAAATAACAAACATTGCTGTTACCTGCCAATGTCAATTGCAAAATCACCACGGATGGTTCCTGGTTCAGAAGCTGCAGGGTTTGTTGCTCCGATGATCTTTCTTCCAGTCAGAACAACGTTCTTCCCCTCCCAGATCATTGCAACGACTGGGCCAGAAATGATGTAATCAACAAGACCGCTAAAGAAGGGCTTGGCAGACAAGTCCTGGTAATGTTTCTCAGCAAAAGGGCGGTCCACAGTGATCAGCTTTAGACCTGTCGATGCCAGCAATCAAACCAATTACCCAGCCACTCTCGATTCAAGTTACGCATATGATCATGCACAGAGTTACTTTAAAACGATCGTGCAGCTGACTGGTTTATATATTTACCTTTCAAAGTGAAACCCTTCTTTTCAAACCTGCAGATGATTTCACCGACCTGAAATACCAAAATATGGAGTCCTCTTTAGAGAGCAGAGATAATCACGAATTTTGCAAGGAGATTCGAAGATTTAGTGGGAAAAAAAAAACATCCTACAGCCTAAGGATCCTAATTAGCAGGAAAAACAGAAACGTACAAGACCCCTCTGGACGCCGTCGGGCTTGATCATGATAAAAGTTTGTTCCATTGTCGTCGGCGATACAGAACAGACACACAGGACGACCAAGATAGGAGGGAGTTATATATATAGATGTACACCAGTTACCAACCCTAACTCTCTTTTTAGAGGCTAAGCCCATGGGCCTTATAGATTTACTTAAAGGCTTAGCGTATAGCGGTTAGTATGGGCCCTGGCCTAGTATGACATGAGAGTGACATGCTGTAATAAATACGATCCAGCACAAAGCAGAGCGACGGTGAGACGGACCGACGTCAACGTGTCGCTTCCTCTCGTCCAAAACGGCTAATCGGAATTGGAAAAACCCTGATCACAGCTGATCGAACAGAAGCAAGTGAAAAAATCTCTTTCCATGAAGGTACACCTGTAGATTGTTGCTGATTGTTCTTTTCATCGTCGATTAGGTTGTTATCCAACATGTGTTCATGTAACATATAGGAGTTAGATGTAGTTGAGATGAGAAACTAGAACAAAATAAAATAATCTCAGAAGTAGAACCAGAAATCTCTAGTCTTGCCCAAGAGAGTAGCTACTAGGTTGGAATTTTAATGCTTGGTGATGGTATATGATAGTAATTGACAAATGGAGACCATTACGACTCGAACAATTGGACATATATATCTCTATGTAGTCTGACTTGCACTGTGCGCAGGCCGACGTTGAAATCAGAGGGCACGAAGAGACATTTGGTGAACCAAAGTGGAGCGATGGACTATGAAGAAGACTGAAGCAGACCAAAGAGGTAAGTGACTCTGTTACATTCTCCAGGGTCTACTCATTAGGATCCAATAGGTAGTGACCCTGTTACATGTCAAAGTAGAGAATTCTCTGTGTTGTTCTATTCATTGAGCTGAACACAGCTTTATATACACGTTAAGAGATATATTCAACTCCTACAATTTAGGAGATCAATTCTATCTACCAACTTATGATCATTATCTAATATACAATCTAATATCTCTAATACTCCCCCTCAAGATGGAGCGAAGAGATCTCGAACGCCCATCTTGCCCAATAGATAATGAAATTGTTGTCGTCTATGGAGATAAGGACATATTTAGATTTAGTTATATCTACAATATATATTCTAGTATATCTCTATGTGGATTATGATTTACATATTTATATAAATATTCTACTATGTAAACCCATTCAGACAACTTAATACAATACACTTTCATAAGTTATATCATGGTATCAGAGCAGGTTGATTCTTAGGATCAAAACTAGTGCTTCCGCATTAAGAGGAGACCATGGTGGTCGTTGAAGAAGAAGATGGTGATGATCCGAACGATGTCATAGTTCGTGTCTACGTTGAGTTACAAAAGTTTTATTAAATTCCCTTTCTCTTAAGTTGGGTTTCTGGATTTCTATCTTATTTTATTAGTTATATGTTTAGGTTTTGATTAGTTTATTTCAAGCTAAGATTTGATTTTTGTGGTCTACCGAGAGTGTTTTGATATTTAAAAGTTTGTGAGTGTTTACTTTGGGTTTACGTTATCTCCGCCACTTCTCGATGTTCATGATCATCATTGTCCCTACTCAAGGCTCCGTTCATGATCTCTTGCTACTTACTACCGCTGCCACTTCTGTTCAAGTTGTTGCTGCTGCTTCCGTGATGACATCACGTTACTTTCAACTACTACTACTACTTCTACATTAAACATGGCGGATGATTCTACGAATACCTCTATCTCCTTCTATTACTACACTACTCACTACGTCTATGGCTGAGTCTACTACTACTATTATATGTAAGATTTGGCACCAGATACTACTTCTATTACTGAAAGTGAGCAACCTCCATCTCCTTCTGATGAAAACAGAATTACAGAAGAGGTTGAAGCTACTTCTCCGGGCATTCCCGAGTTACTACTACTACTACTACTCTGGTTACTGACCAATCTCTCTTACGGTTCAATTTTAGCCATATATACTTATGAAGAACTCATCTCTCATAGTAAGTTCGATGTTTCTTCTTCCAAAGAGGTCTCAGCATCTACACAACTACAAAGGAACAACCTTTGCGATCTACTCTCCAAGTTGGAAGTTCAAGATTTCTCACCTCCAACTTGAGGGAGGGTATGGAGGTATGGAGATAAGGACATATTTAGATTTAGTTATATCTACAATATATATTCTAGTATATCTCTATGTGGATTAGGATTTACATATTCATATAAATATTCTACTATGTAAACCCATTCAAGACAACTTAATACAATACACTTTCATAAGTTATATCATCGTCCCAACGGATATCAGCCAACTGGTTCTTTGTCCCAACGTGTCGTGCAACAATCAAGCCATCAATTATAGCATCTCGAATAAAGTGGCAATCAACTTCAACATGCTTTGTTCTTTCATGAAAAACTGGATTGGCAGCTATGTATAAGGCCGCTTGATTATCACAATATAGAGGAACCGGAGACTGTTGTTTGATGCCAAGACTACTCAGAAGTTCAACGATCCACTTAACTTCACACAACGTGATTGCCATTGCGCGATACTCTGCTTCCGCCGTAGACCGAGAGACTACCTTTTGTTTCTTTGTTTTCCAGGAGACCAAAGAATCGCCAAGCATGACGACATAACCGGTAAGTGACCGACGAGTCAATGGACACGCGGCGTAATCGGAATCACAATAAGCAGATAGTGCGAGATCATTATTGGCGCTTAAGAAGATGCCCTGTCCTGGAGCCTTCTTGAGATATCGAACAACTCTTAAAGCTGCGTGCCAATGTTTGAGTCGTGGTTTCTGCATAAACTGCGCAAGCGTATGAACAGCGTAACTCAAGTCTGGTTTAGTGACCGTCAAGTAAACCAGGCGACCTACCAAGCGTCGATATTTGACTGGATCATCGAAGAAAGCACCTTTATCACGAGCCAGAGCATGATTCTCTTCCATAGGAGTGTCAATAGGGCGTGCTCCAAGAAGACCAGATTCTGTAATAATGTCGAGAGCATACTTCTGTTGAGACAAATATATTCCATCACTGCTTCTAGCAACCTCATTGCCCAGAAAATATTTTAGAACACCCAAATCGTTCATGTGAAACTGACGATTGAGGTAAGCTTTGAAATTAGAAATGAGTACGGGATCACTACCACCAATGACCAAATCATCGACATATACCAGAACATAAACAATAGACTTCCCACGCTGCAGAGTGAATAGTGAGTAGTCAGATCGATTCTGTTTAAAACCAAACTCCTTGAGCGCTGTAGAGAGCTTGGCAAACCAACATCTCGGAGCTTGTCGGAGACCATAAAGTGACTTTCGCTAGTTTGCAGACTTGATTCGGACCAGTAGCCTTGAATCCGGGAGGTAACTTCATGTAAACCTCTTCCTCTAAATCACCATGAAGAAACGCGTTATGCACATCCATTTGGTGTAGTTCCCAACCTTTTGCTGCTGAAATCTCCAAGAGAATACGGACTGTGTTCATCTTGATTACCGGGGCAAAAGTTTCTTTAAAATCAACTCCCTCTTCTTGTTGATTACCGAGAATAACGAGCCTTGCTTTATAACGCTCCACTGTTCCATCTGAGTTAAACTTTGTTTTGTAAACCCATTTGCAACCAATTGCAACTTTTCCAGGAGGTAACTCTGTAATGTCCCAAGTATGTTGTCCTTCCAAAGCGCCAACCTCAGTACCCATGGCATTGTTCCATCGCGGATCACGAACAGCGTCTTTATAATGAACAGCGTCAAAACCCACTCACTATTGATCTGCTAATTAGGATCCTTAAGCTCTCGGATAAGCTTTGATTAGGTAGAAATCAGTTATGCTTAAGCTCTCAGTGAGCATGATGACATCCAACAATAGTTATAAGTTATAACACCAAAAAAGAAAAGACATGAAGTAGGATTTGGTTGAGATGGAACACAACAATGCTGTGTTGCAGGAGGAGGCATCCAGTCCCATGAGACAAGGGAAGAGAGAGAAAGAGAGAGCAGAGATGGTTGTGGCATGGGTTCTCTACTGGCTGAGATATAGTGAGGTGGCGATAATGTTGTTCAATTTTGGTTGTGTCCGACTTAGAAATGTAAACCCATTTCTATCGACTTTTGTGTGAGGAAATATGGTTAATGCGCTATCGGTTTTAACAAGTTTTCATGTCTCTTTTAGCGTTTGTTGATTGTTATGGCAGCAAATGAATCGTAATCAATGTTGATTTTGAATTTAGATTGGATGATGAAAGAAAGAAAGAAAGAAAGAAAGAAAGAAGGAAAAGAATCATATGAAACAGAGACATGTCATGTCATTGTAGGTGCTTTTGAATTACAGAGAGCTTTAATCCGAGGGAAGGAAGTCTAGCCATTAGGTTAATTATGTTAGTGTTGTTTCGCCTTTTAGCTGGCGGAGGAGAAGTGGGCTCCTCCGGCGAAGATGAACGCTGGCGTTTAGTCACCCTGACAGGCTCAGCCTTGTCAATGCCGATAAGGTGAGGAAAGTTAAGCTTAGCCTTAGAGCCTCGCATCTTAAAAGCTGCCCGGTCATACGCCAAGGCTGCCTGATCGGCCGTCTCGTAGGTCCCCAACCATATTCTGGCACCCTTCTTGTTGGGATCTCTGATCTCTGCCGCGTATTTCCCCCATGGTCTTCTCCTTACTCCCTTGTAATTTGCCCCTCCTCTTGGCGGCCCAGATGATGACGATGACGATGACGATGATGAAGCTGCCACATCGAAATCATCACCATCCTCCAGCAATTGTCGGCGAATCCAATCCAGAGCTGATGACCCTTTATCCCAGCTGAGCTCTGCCTCCATTTTCCTCACTCACTCTTCTTTGTTTTTGGATCTTAACTTTACAGGGAGCAGATTATATATAACTAGGTACACGCGCATTGTTTAATATTATTATATAGATCTGCACTTGCTTGGAAGCGCCAAATCAGTCACGTTTTACTCAATGTTGGTCTACTTTTCAATTAATTGTTGTGCCAATATAAAAAGAGTAACGGACAAAGGAATCTTGATTCAGGTATCAATTTTTTTTAATTCACAGCACGAAGAAGCTTATCTCATCCCGTGAAGAAAACTAAAGCTGACAACTTTCCGCCTGACTTGTCCCTTTTCTTAAATAATTAATTGATTTTCATTTGATCATCACTGGTTTTCACTTTTCACTGACAAATGCCTATCTTTTTTAATTAAAAAGTTACTAAATAATATTGGCCCTATGACTCAGCTATTGGGCTAGGTGATTACAATAATTGTGGCCCAATACATTACAAGTCTCGATTTGGATAGATGATCAATTCTCTCATTTCATCGTCTCGAATCGATCTCCATTCTCGATTCGATTTCCCAATTTCCATGGGAAGCCACCAAGGTTTCAGCTCCTCCGCCACATGGTTCTCTCACTTGTGCGCTTCAGCCCGCCGATTTAAATCACTGGCTCCTCCGTCCTCGTCCTCGTCCTCGCAGAGTATTGTTCGCTCCACCTCCGGCGACTCTTTGGTTCGTCGCCTCGGCCTCTTCGACCTTATACTGTTGGGCGTCGGCGCGTCCATCGGGGCCGGTGTATTCGTCGTTACCGGAACCGTCGCTCGCGATGCTGGACCCGGTCAGTGGGGGAAGTTTTCCTTTGCATTTCAGGAATTAATTGGGAAATTAAAACTTGGCATTACTTCATTTCATGTAGGAGTGACGATGAGCTTCATGCTAGCTGGAGCATCGTGTGTATTGAACGCGCTCTGTTATGCGGAACTTGCGTCTCGTTTCCCTGCAGTTGTTGGAGGAGCTTACATGTACTCGTATTCAGCTTTCAATGAGATCACGGCTTTCCTCGTTTTCGTGCAACTCATGCTTGACTATCACATTGGTGCGGCGAGTATCTCTCGTAGCTTGGCAGGCTATGCAGTTGCTCTCCTCGAGATTTTTCCAGCTTTCAAGGGCTCTATCCCTCTCTGGATGGGAAGCGGCAAAGAGTTGTTCGGAGGGGTTCTCTCTTTGAATATTTTGGCTCCCATTTTACTCGCGCTCCTGACCTTTGTTCTATGCCAGGGGGTGCGAGAATCTTCTGCTGTCAACTCTGTTATGACTGCTACCAAGGTCGTCATCGTTCTCGTTGTGATTTGTGCGGGAGCTTTTGAGATTGATGTAGCAAATTGGTCTCCTTTTGCCCCCAACGGTTTTAAAGCAGTGCTCACTGGAGCTACCGTAGTCTTCTTTTCATATGTTGGATTTGACGCAGTTGCTAATTCTGCTGAAGAATCCAAGAACCCTCAGGTCTACATCTATCCATATTACCATATATACATATACTTGTTGAATGTAGATTTACTGTGTCTTACTAACTCCATCTATGTTCATACAGCGTGATCTGCCAATCGGAATTATGGGGAGCCTTGTGGTATGTATCTCGTTGTATATTGGCGTATGTTTGGTGCTCACTGGGATGGTCCCTTTTAGTCTCCTCAGCGAAGATGCTCCTCTAGCTGAAGCCTTTTCATCAAAGGGTATGAAGTTCGTCTCAGTCTTAATCAGTATCGGTGCTGTTGCTGGACTCACAACTACTCTGCTTGTTGGACTCTATGTTCAGGTGAATCTATTATGTATATATGTTGTTGGATTTCTTTATCGATGATTGCTTGCTGCCTTCCTCAAAAGGTATCTCTGAATTTGGTCATATGATAACAGTCCAGGTTATATCTGGGTCTTGGAAGGGATGGTCTATTGCCTTGTATCTTTTCCAGAATACACCCAACGCTTCATACACCTCTTCATTCTCAAATCTGGTGTGGCGTTGTTGCTGGCGTTTTAGCTGGCATATTTAATGTTCATAGCCTTTCCCATATTCTGTCAGTTGGTACATTGGTACGTCAAGGTCTTTTTTTTCTACATTGTTCGTTGCTTATCCTTTCCTGTTTAACACTATATTTGGTGCTCAGACTGGGTATTCAGTTGTTGCGGCTTGTGTCGTGGCTTTGAGATTGAACGATAAGAAAGAAAGAGACTTGTCCAGTGGATGGACATCAAGTTGGCAGGAAGGCGTCATATGCCTTGTTATAATTGCATGCAGTGGTTTTGGTGCTGGCGTCTTTTACCGTTTCAGTGCTTCCCTTGTATTTCTTCTCCTCTCAGTTGGTGTAGCAGTTATTGCTTCAGCAGTTCTCCATTATCGCAAAGTAAGTAGCCTTCAGCGTAAGCAAATACTCTTCCTCATTACAGAGCGCCAAAATAATTTGAATAGCTAAATACTCAAAGTCTTTTATTAAACCCTCCACGAATCATGCAAAATGGCTGTATAGTGCCTAGCAATTCTCCTTGTTAACACAATCAGATTTTGGCTTCCAGGCTTATGCTCAGTCTCTGGGCTCTGGGTTTAGCTGTCCTGGTGTACCCATTGTGCCATGCGTTTGCATTTTCTTCAACATCTTCTTATTTGCTCAGGTACACGGAAAGAGCTAACGTTGTACTAATCCCATATAAAACCATATGATTTTCTAACTTTGAGCTAGCACTACTTTGCAGTTGCACTATGAAGCATGGATAAGATTTGTTGTTGTGAGCGTGCTTGCAACAGCCGTGTATGCCTTGTATGGGCAGTACCATGCAGATACAAGCACGTTGATTTACGAGAGGGCACCTGAAACTGAAAACGACTCTGAGTAAAATTGGTTCAACTATGCAAGAAGCCATCTGTTGAGTAGCTAGTGAAAGCCATTTGTCGAGTGGCTGGTGAGACATAAACACCCATTGTAAGGATAAGTGATTCAGATATTGTAAATGAAATGAAGATGGATCACTTCTTGGCAATTAGTAAAGAAAATACGTTCTTCTGTTAATACTAAAGTTTCAAAATAATTTCGGCTGTGTGTTTCAAAGTACAAGAGCTAAATCTGTCTGATCCCGAAGTTGATAAAGAAAACAATTCATTCCTACAGGATCAACTAAACTGTGAATCATTTATATAAAAAAAAAAACAGGGAAGGAGAGTGGGCTTAGGCGGGCAAATAGGACTCGAGCATAAGTTTGGCAGGGGAAGGTGTTGAAATCTCAACGATGAGGTAAGTGTATTTCCATTCCTTGTCTGCTTTGTCTCTAAACATCTCGGCGTACACTTTCCCGGCTCCTTGAGGCCCACGGATGTAGAAGTTTACCTGTTAAAATCTTGTTTATTAGTTATGTTCTTCTCGCTTTCGTCTATTTCTATAAGACATAAGTTAACAATGAATTACCTCTACATGCTCTACTCCGTCTTCATCTGTAAACACTCTGTTGGGTATACGTTGACGAGCAGCTCGGTTTCTGGTTTCTTGTCCGTAGCCTTTGATGGGGGATCCAATCCTAACCCTCACCTAGTTAACAAGCAATCTCTCAGCATCCTGAATGACTCAATCTATGGAGTTAGTTTCTTATTAGTTATTACCTGTCCATCATCTTGAATTCTCTTCAAGGCTTTGTCAAAGATCTTGTACCTAGAATAATACGCAACAGAGTGTCTTTAGATTATTCCTACTCAGAGCATATAAATACCAAACTAGACCTGTGAAGAAGCCTCACTCTTTTGGTTGAAAAATGAGCTCTTTAAACACCGCATAAGCAGCAGCTCCAGCGACCCCAAGCCCAGCCAGAATAACAAGACTGTAGGAAGCGCCTTCTGTAAAGGTCACCGGCTTCTCTGGGATATGGTACGTCGGAGAATCAAAAGGATCCTCCACAGTCGTCACCGCTTTCTTAGCCTGTAAAGAGACAAGTATCATTGTCTTTGTCTAAGGACCCATATATAATCTCTTATTACTAACACCTACCTTATCGTGCTGTTCTTTAGAAGTTCTTGACGCAAAAGATCTAGAAAAGCAAGATGAGTTCATCTTCTTTTGTCGAGTTTCAGTACACATTCTTGCTTGCGGATTTCGGAAGCCAAACAATAGACCTGAAAACAGATCATTGTCAGAAGAGCAAGTACACAACCATATAGGATTCCAAGTTTGATTACAAATTGTTTGGGCTGACCCTTGGCTCCATTTGAGTCCTGCATAAGAAAGACGACGAGAGCTATTAAACTAACATGTCCTATCAATGACCCATAAAAGCGTAAGCAGCAAAGAAAAGTTTGTGTTACCACAGTCTTGAGACCCGAATCAGAGATAGCTGGCCTTGATGCTCCTCTTTGTAAAACGCTTATCAACTGCATCCAAAGGGAGAGACGATAATGTTTAACAATAAAAAGAGTCCAATGCTCTTAAGTCTTAATATTTGTAAGGTGTTATCTTGTCACTATAGAGATTCGAGAGAATAAAATTCCCTTTTTCTGGTTATAAAGAGAAGCAATGAATAGCTGAAACCAAAGGGAGTCCCTCACTCTTGCAAAAGATTATCCATTTCTACTGAAGAAAAATGCACCAAGGAATGAAATCCTCGAGTTTCGGGAAAAGAGCTAACCGGTTTTCCGATTTCAGAAGCGGAGGAAAAAGGGAGGGTCGAAGCCAGTTTCGATTTGGATTGGCAGACGAGAGATATCGCTCTTCTCCTTATGAGGTTCATCATCTCTGATGCAGCAAAATGAATGAAGCTCGAAATCTGAATCAGCGAAGCTTTACAAAGTCGACGAAGAAGAAGAAGAAGGTGGAATTGAGGTTGCCGAGCAAGGCGAAGTCGCTTCTGGGGTTTTACCGCGAGGCACGTGCCAAGAGAGCCCGCACGTGCGTACATTGGGCTTGGGCTCATGAGATGATCCGTTTTAATCAACAGAATTAGTGGACTGGGCCTTCTCTGTTATCTGGGGTTTTATTTTCTTCAGTTCAACAAATTGGCCCATGCTTATCAAGTTCTTGAAGAAAGATCTATGACCGATGTGGTGAAGATGCAATGTTCTTTTTTTTTGGTTAAAACTTAAAAAGATGCAATGTTCTTTTGCAGATGCTGTATTCTCCTTGTTACTTGTTAGTAGGATTTAATGCAGAGCTTCAAGGCGTCTGCCGAAAATCAGTACAATATCACAACCAAGAGTCGAAGAATATGATTTGCGTCACATTCCAAATCAGTTGTCATGTTTTGTTGCTTTCTGAGACTAATAAAAACTACTTGTACGGTTTAGGCTTGAACATGATCCAACATATACAAAGCGTTTGTCCTCCTGAATCCTGATTGCCAGGGTTCAAGCAATTTGATATCAGAGAATTATGATATTTTGTTCACATTGAAACTATCAACTATCGATTAATATTAACGACATTAAGGGTAAAAAGACTATTTATTATGATAAGAAATTTACCAGATTGATTTCACAATGCAAAAGCGCATTTTGATGACACCGAAGCTGTAAATACTAAATAGTGGTGTAGAAGTCTAGAAGATGAGAAGAATGGCAACAGCAAAACTCAAAAGCTGTTAGTTAGTTAGGTTAAGGGGTAAATAAATTGGTAAATTGGTTAAAATTTCTGGAGGTTAAATAAAAAGAGCGAGAGAGAGAGAGATGAAATCAGAAAGGAACCCTAGAAATGTCACAAGCATTTCAAGCATTTCTTCTCAACAATCGACATGCACAGCCACCACCACCACCGTGCGGATTCCGATTGCACCTCCCTCCTCTCTAATCAGCTGCTCCTCCACGTGTTCTCCAAGCTTCCCATTTGTGACCACCTGACCACTTCCCTCGTCTGCAAGCGTTGGTTGTATCTTCACGGCCGCTTGGTTCCATCTCTTAGGCTCCTGGAGTGGCAGTTTCTCGAGTCTGGTCGTCTTTTCGCTCGCTTCCCCCATCTGACCGAATTCGATATCGTCCGTTCATGCATCCTCGTCACTCCAAACCCCGGCGGTGTCTTGTTGAGTTTGTCTCTCGGCGACAAAATTGATATGTTGCCGCCTGATAGGATTGACCAAGGGCTCCAGTTGATCGCCCAGAGGTATCCGAAGCTGAGGAGAATCGGTGTCTTGGGTGCGAGCGAGTGCGGGCTGGGCAGCCTAGCCGGCACGTGTCAGGCATTGCAGGAGCTGGAGCTCCATTGCTGCGGAGATTTGTGCTTGAAGGGCGTTTCAGGATTTGTGAATTTGCAGGTGGTGAAATTGAATTCGAATTCGAGAGATGGCTGTGGTAGTGTGGTGTCGGACATCGGGTTAACCATTCTAGCGCAAGGTTGCAAGAGGCTAGTAAAGCTCCAACTGTGTGGGTGTGAAGGAAGCTATGATGGGATCAAAGCTATTGGGCAGTGCTGCCAAATGCTCGAGGAGTTGACTTTGCGAGACCATAGGATGGATGGTGGTTGGCTGGCTGCTCTGTCTTTCTGTGGGAATCTCAAGACCTTGAGGCTTGAGTCTTGCAAGGCAATCGATTCTGATCCTGGTCCCGATGAGCATCTTGGAGTCTGTCCTATGCTCGAGGAGCTGCATTTAGAACGGTGTCAGCTGAGGGATAGGAAGAGCACAAAGTCTCTGTTTCTGGTTTGTCGACGTGTTCGGGATATTGTGCTGCGTAACTGCTGGGGTTTTCAAGATGATCTCTTTGCCTTGGCCTCACTCTCTAGGTAAGCAAAGACGAACCCTATCTTATGCTAGGTTTTTTGTTTCAATCTGATTCTGATGAAAAGGTGTGTCTTTACTCTTTACTCTTTACCAGGAGAGTGAAGCTACTTTATCTTGAACATTGCTCATTGCTGACGACACAAGGTCTAGAATCAGTGCTTGTTTCATGGAAGGATCTTGAGAGACTAACCGTAGTTTCGTGTAGTAAGATAAAAGACAGCCAAGTAACTCCACAACTTGCTTCCCTCTTCTCCGTGCTGAAAGAACTCAAGTGGAGACCCGATACGAGATCTTTGCTTTCATCAGATCTCGACGGCATCGGAATGTGGAGACAAGGCGGTAAATTCTTCACCAGTTCAAAGGGTGCAAGGTATTAGGTGGAAAAAAGGGACCGTGGGTGTCTTTGTTCGTCTTCAGCTTCCTTGTTGTAAATGCACTGACTGTGGTACGCCTTGTATTTTGAAGGCATACCGGTTAGCTTTACTCTTAGAGTATAGTTTGTTGATAATATCTGAATAAGCACATGAAGAGAATAAAGCATATCCCTATGTGGGATTTTCAGCACAATGTCATCTCGCCTTTCTGGTTTCTTGCGACTCTGCAGGTTAAAGCCGAGATAAGAGAGCAGCAGTTGTCACCAGTAAAGATGCGGATCAAACAAAACATGATTTACAATTCCATCTTTGTGATGTTTATATTTGGACATCAATTTTTCTATCTATATAAAACAATCGACGACTTTACATCGTCTTCTAATGCATATATATATATACACACATAGCTAATGGTGCAATGGATGAAAATTAGACCCTAAGTGGAGACTATATCCGGCTTCAGACCACCATAGGAACGGGCCACAAATTGAATCAGTTTCTTGATATATGGTGCATACTTCTGTTCCCAAAACCCATCATTCTTGATGAGCTCCCTTAGCGTGATGAGAAGCCCCCATGGATGTGGCTGCTGAACGATTAGGCGCTCCAGCAACACTCTTGTTATCTGCTCCTTTACAATTTCCTGCACCATTCAATATACAAACATGGCTAATGACGTTGGAAAGTGGGTGTTCCTAGCAACAAAATCTCTCGGTAAGGATCTTACGTGGTCCGACTCATAGAAAAGAGAGAGGATGGTGGTGGCGAAGTAATGTGTGTGGCTGTTGGGATAACGTAGTTGATTGGCCATTGCACTAAGCAACATGAAACGTCCTTCCGTGTCAAGTTCCCAACTTAAAAATTTGAACATTTGCAAGGCGGCAACATTTGCATTCCACTGACCCTCAGCCTCAGCCTCGCGCTGTTGAACAGCCTATGAAACAAGACACCATCAGATATATATATATAAAAAAAATCCCCACAGAAATCAAATAGATGTTCATCTTAAATAACATACTTGCAGTCCAACGTAGAGTACAAGTGAGTTGACCAATGGTACATTGTATCTAGTGCCAGCTGAATCAGCCTCACTGGCCGGGAGAAGCAGCCTCTGCTTCAGCTCATTTAGGAAACTAGAATCATGTTGCCTCATCTGCAGAAATCAATCAATACTACAAATTGAAATCTGAAGCACAACTAGGAGAAGAAGCAATGAAAACCTTTGACTCACGCACGGCACAAAGTAAAAAGACTGAATGGAAGTAAAAAACACCAAATGCATATTCTTACTGAAAGATACTCATCCAAGTGGGTCTTCATTTGCTCTTCTTTAAGTGCAGCATCGACCTCAGCAAGGATACGGGGAGCAGGCAGTAGATCAATCTGCAGTCAACTCACTACTCAGTCTCAAGGACCAGGAAACATGTTCCACTTTCGAAAATGAATAAGATATATATTTTTGAACCTTTAGGTTTGGCGTAAACGGATTTGGTAGCCTCATGTTTCGCGGAGAAGAACAGAGTACAATGTTTCGCATTTGTATGCAGCTTGAAGGAATCACATTGCAGAAAGTAAAATGATAGTCACAAAGAAACTCCGGGTAGTCATGGAGCAATACCAGCAATACTTTCAGTGTGCCTTTGTATAGCAAATGAACCTACGTGAAAAAAACAAATAAGACCATTATTCATGTTCTTAATAGTGGACTCAAAAACTAAACAACAGAGAAGGGCACAAACCGATGGCCTTCGTTCAACATCTCTCAAAAGAGGCTCAAGAAACTTAAGCAAGCCCACTAGCAGGCGTTGAAAATACGGCCAACCCTTCTGACCATTTAGAGAAAGTAGTTTGGGCATGAAGCTTCTGTGGCTAACCAGCTCTAGCCATGCAAAGCTGGAAGAAAGAAAGTTCATACAGTAAAAGCAAATGAAAAAGTGTGATCACCCAATCAAAGGAAGAAACAACTCTCTAGTGCTTGCAAATTGGCTACAAGAGAAACAAGTGTATGTCGTAACCTGAACGCAGGAATGTTAAGAGGCTGCAGCGCGTGAAATGCATTTGCAAAATCTATTAGAACCTGCGACAAACAGATGAACATTAATAGAAAAATAGATAGAAACAAGTTTACAGTCAAAATCCGACGCACCTGATAGTTTGCACCATCTTCCATAGGGCCGGGGGAAGATGAATCGAGCAGCAAGTTGATGAAAAATCTGAAATATGGTAGTGGATTAAGTGCTGTCTTTTTGTCACTTGCGTCCTTTAACAGAGATCTCACAGTGACAGTCATAATCTGCAGTCGGCAATCAATGTTAGATCTTGTCCACTTTTTTTTCACAGGCAATCAATCCACAACAATGAAATGGAAAACCAAAGTTTCTTGTGCAGCTTGCAAAAAGTGACAGCCAGGACAAACCTGAGACAATGACTTTGAATGGCCGGCTGCATTGGTAGTTAGCTCTGCTCGGTTATGAGGAGAAATATATTCGGATTCAAGCTCATTAATCATGTGTGGTTGAGATCCTTGTGCCACTCCAAAATCTTTGTTGCTAAAATCAGGATTTCCATCTACTTCTCTCGTTCGGCCTTTAAGAAAGGAAGTTGGTTTTACATGTTTGATATCAACCCCAAGGTTCTTGAAAAAAACCTGAAAAAATGATAGAGAGATAAGAAAAACAAAATAAATCTTAGATACACAAGTGGAACACTGGTCATCTTTTTCAAATCCTAGAGAGAAATACAAACCTCTATGTCAAACATCAGATTCATCTTAAGTTGTGGCATCGAATAAATCTCTGCTAGCAACCCAAGTATAGACATAGTCCATGGATTCGGAGGTTGATATACGATACTGCTTTGGCAGGATTCCAAAACCTGTACCATGACTTAGAAGTCAGCCTACAATCATAAGAATAAAATAAAAATAAAAGCAAGTGGAATGGGTCAACCCATGCAAACCTTAGTAGTGAAGGGAATGATGGCAATCAACAAGCCTTTTTCATATGCCTGTAAAGAGAGATGACAAAAAATAAGTCAAAGCAGAAACAAAACAAAAATGATTACAAAGAAGGAAGTGAAATAAAGAGCAAGAATTACATCAAGTATCAGGGATTTTGGATCTATTTCACGCGCCCTTAAAACGTGATTCCTTCCAATGGTCACCTTCCCAAGCCAGCTACCTAAGTTTTTAAGCAAGGACCGCTCTTCTGAACTTGACTTTATGAGCTCTGAACCTAAAAGAACCTGAAAACGCAAAAAGATGATGATTGAAAAAAAAAAAAAAAAAGGAAGATACAAATTTTCCAACAAGAGAGAAACCAACACAGCAAACCGTTGAGAAAAACTTACCTTACAGTTGTCATAGGTAGCTTGGACTATTTCCTTGTACAAAGGGCGGGAATTAACTTTGTCCAAGAAGTTCAAGTACAAGGCATGAAACTTTCGCTCAGTACTCACTCTGTAACACAAGCAGCAGGAAAAGCAATAAGAAGAGATTGGAAAATGGTCTCATCGCAACGCACGAGTAGAAATACCTCTTCATGACCACATATTGTGCAAACCAAGGATAGTACTGAATGGACAGACTTTCGGTGAATTCTTTCTCCTTAGATTCGATGTTTGCTGCCGAGACATTATTCATTATGAAAGATATTTTGTCCTGAACCTCTGAAGGTGGAGCCTGGATTTTTTATTAAACAAGAGACATTTGAGACATGATTGAGCAACATCAGCTAAAGCTCATATGCTTTACAAGTTATAAGAGTAGAGCAAATAAAGCAGGTTACCGGGATTGGATTCTCCTTTCTCTCCACTGCAGCAACCAAGGTTCCTATGTTCAAAGGAAACACCTGCGACAAAAGCGGATTATAAGATTTTATGTTTTAGAATCGGTCCATTGAATCTGCCTTGACATGTTTGGGAATAATTTTGTATACTTAGCAAGAATTAGCAAGAGGGGTGCTCCTTAAATCAGCCAAATATCAAAAGTAGCGTACTGAAACTGAACTGAACAATCCATAAAGAGCAACAATCCATAAAGATCAAACACTAGTTGCTTGAATCATAGTAGACACCGCGAACAAGAGAAGCGCGTGTATTTGAGAGAAAGAGTACCTCGCAACTCTCTTGGCCATGGACGGAGACCTTGTTGGACGGAATCATGAGGATGGCGATCGGAGATCCAAAGCCTTAGGGTAATTTGATAGGGTCACTGAATTTGATAGGGATGCCGATTCTGATGATTTATTTTATGAATATGATGATGATCAATCAATCTTTCCTCTTGGTTCGCTCGCTCGCGTCTTCACCAGAAGACGTTGTATTTATACACTAGTACATACGGAGGTGCACGCGTTGGCCAGAAAACGTCGCCGTATCATATTAAAAGCCAAAAGCCCATTTTGCATCTCCTCAAGATCCCAATGGGCTTCAATTATTGATTGGAACATTATCTCTTACTGCAACAGTTTCACCGGAGCACGGAGCAGAGCAGAGCAGAAGCAACAAATGGCCCTCGCGCTCTCCGCATATCCTCCGCTCAAGCTCCGTCGCAGTTTTCGAACTACCTGTTCGATATTCCCGGCACAGCGAGCCAAGCAGAAGCTGCTGGAGCTCATCTCCGACCAGGATCGAGGTCTCAGAACTCAGAAAGACGCGGCGAAGCGAGAGGCAATCGTGAATGCCATCGAGTCCATGGCGGATATCGGGCGCAGCTCCATCACCACTGGCGAATCGCTCTCTGCCACGTGGAGGCTGATGTGGACGACGGAGAAGGAACAGCTGTTCATCATAGAGAAGGCGGGGCTGTTCGGGACGCGCGCCGGAGACGTTCTGCAGGTGATCGATGTGAAGAGAGGGAAGCTCAACAACGTTATCACTTTCCCGCCTGACGGGGTTTTCTTCGTACGCTCTGACATCGACATCGCTTCCCCGCAGAGAGTCAATTTCAGGTTATTGATTCAGTGATTCAAAGGAGGATTCAGTTTCCACATAGCTAATTCGAAGAGGTTATTTTGTTATGGATAATCAGATTCAATAGCGCGGTGCTGAGGGGAAGAAACTGGGAGATTCCACTTCCACCCTTTGGCCAGGGCTGGTCAGTTCTAAATCTGAATATCAATAACCTGAAATGGTTTTGTTTTGTAAATATAAAGTATCCGTGTAATACTGATACACAGAAACAAACAACTGTTTTGCTCATGCACAGGTTTGAGACTGTGTATATGGATGGTGACATGAGAGTGGCCAAGGACATCAGAGGAGACTACTTAATTGTTGATCGTGCTCCTTTTAACTGGAAGGAATGATTGTATAAAGTATAAACCTCTCTCTTTCTTGTATACACTATTATACGGTATATATACACCATTTCCATCTTTTAACATGAAATTAGGGAGGAAGGGGAATATGTCAAAGTGTGATGTGATCCTTGAGTTTATTCAGGTTTCTTGTCTGTGTTTGTTACAAACACACCACCCACATTTTCTAAGCCGTTTCTTTCTTCTTTTTTTTTCTGTTAACTTGAATTTATAAAGGCCACTAGAGTCCTTTTGTGTTGTTTGATCTGGAAGAAGAAGAAGAAACATGTTGGGGAAACAAAAGGAAATAGGCCAAAGCACAAGGCGGGTTGCGAATCAGGGAAAGGCAACAGTGCTTGCTCTCGGCAAGGCCTTCCCCAGCAATCTTGTTTCTCAGGATAATCTCGTGGAGGAGTATCTCCGCGAAATCAAATGCGATGACCTCTCCATCAAACACAAGCTGCAGCACCTGTGTATGTAAACTTGATCGTGTGTATAACCCTATACTGTATATATATAAGCATGTGTTTTTGTCTTTGTGTCTTGGTGGTGTTAGGTAAATCCACAACTGTTAAGACACGCTACACGGTCATGTCCCGGGAGACGCTGCAGCAATACCCTGAGCTAGCAACCGAGGGTTCCCCAACCATCAAACAGAGGCTTGAGATTGCAAACGAGGCGGTTGTGCAAATGGCGTATGAAGCCAGCTTGGCTTGCATCAAGGAATGGGGGAGGGCATTGGAAGACATCACTCATCTTGTCTATGTTTCCTCCAGTGAGCTCCGTTTGCCCGGAGGTGACCTTCACCTCTCCGCACAGCTGGGCCTTGGCAACGAGGTGCAGAGAGTGTTGCTGTATTTCTCGGGATGCTACGGAGGCTTGAGTGGGCTCCGCGTGGCCAAAGACATTGCTGAGAACAACAGAGGCAGCCGGGTGCTGCTCACCACCTCTGAGACCATGGTTCTCGGGTTCCGCCCGCCCAACAAAGCTCGCCCTTACGACTTGGTGGGAGCTGCTCTCTTTGGAGACGGAGCAGCTGCCCTGGTCATCGGAGCAGACCCAACGGAGTCGGAGTCTCCTTTCATGGAGCTTCACAGTGCGCTGCAGCAGTTCTTGCCCGGGACGCAGGGGGTGATCGATGGGCGGATGTCGGAAGAGGGCATAAGCTTCAAGCTAGGAAGAGACCTCCCTCAGAAGATCGAAGACAACGTAGAGGACTTCTGCAAGAAGCTGGTGGCCAAGGCAGGCTCCTCGGCCTCTGCTTCCCTGGAGTTGAATGACCTCTTCTGGGCAGTTCATCCCGGAGGACCGGCCATCCTGAACGGCCTGGAGGCGAGGCTGAAGCTGAGGCCGGAAAAGCTGGAAAGCAGCAGAAGGGCGTTGGTGGATTATGGGAACGCAAGCAGCAACACCATCTTCTACATAATGGACAAAGTGAGGGATGAGTTTGAGAAGAAAGGAGGACCCGAGTGGGGTCTGGGCTTAGCTTTCGGACCTGGAATCACCTTCGAGGGCTTTCTCATCAGGAGCCTCTTCTAAATAGCATATACACTCTGGGTTTCAAGTATGGGCTTTTACGTTATGTGCCTACAAACTTTAGCTCATGAACGAATGAACATAATAAAACATAGCAGAGTATGAAAATAAATCTAATACATGTTTTTTTTTGTTTTTCATAATATATATCTGAATCTGATAGTTTATTAACCATCGAAAGAAAACTAGGATGAAATACACTAATTTACTGGAACTTATCATCCTCCCAAATCAAAAGTCGACAAAATATTGAGAAATTCTTAAAAACCAAAGAAAATCAGCACACCTGAACAGATTAGGAAGATTACAAAAAGATAATTTGAAAGCGAATCCTACTAAATATAAAAGCACCGTATGTAAAAATATGGTATCAGTTCTCACATTTAAGCTGTCAAGTCAAGCAAACATTCAACAGCTATTAAGCTAGGGCATTAAAAGAAGGGACCTATCACTCACTATATATATATATATATATACGTATATGGTTAACTATTCAAGTGTGATGTCCCAACTTCTCCATTACGTGATTACTGCAAAAGGTCACATAAAAAAATTCTTTTTAAGAAAGAGAAGACATCTCAAGAGTCTTTAAGACATCTCGAGAGTCTTTTTAAAATTGATAATTTGCAATACACAGTTTTGGGGATGAGCCAACGTGTTCCAAACTGCCACATCGATGATGCTCCGGCGGCCACCGTCCGGTCCACCACAGCCGCAGATATCCCCATGTACGTACGCACACCTTTTCTTTTTTTAATCAGATCTTGATATATATATAACTGAAGCCTCAATATATATAGTAACTTTAGTTTGTTGTATATGTCTTCTGCAGGCTAGACTACGAGGTAGCGGAGCTGACGTGGGAAAACGGGCAACTGGGCTTGCACGGTTTAGGTCCACCGCGAGTGACAGCTCCGTCCAAGTACTCCACAGGCGCCGGTGGAACGCTGGAATCCATAGTGGACCAAGCAACTCGCCTCCCTAAGCCTAGGGGTGAGCTGGTCCCATGGTTCCACCATCGCTCTTCCACGACAATGGACGCGCTTGTGCCTTGCTCCAACCCCCAGGAGCAGCAGCGTGTTGGCTCCACCCGCGTAGGCTCCTGCAGTGATGGCTATCCCATGGCCGGTGGGAAACGAGCCAGAGTGGCGCCCGAGTGGAGTGCGAGCGGGAGCCAGCGCCTGACCATGGACACTTGCGGCTTCACCTCAACATCGCTTGATGATAACTCCAGCTCCGGCGGAAAGCCTTTTTCCAAAAACACCACCACCATCGACGATCATGACTCCGTCTGCCACAGCCGCTCACAGGCATTTTTCATTATCTTAACTCCTAAATAGTTAATTTTAGTTATATATACACTGTCATATATCACTTTTATACATACAGATACAGTATATGTTACTAAAATGAAAACAAAACACACTTTTTTTTACAAAACGATAGATGGAGGAAGAAGAAGACAAGAAAGCCGGAGGGAAATCATCAGTATCAACCAAGAGAAGCAGAGCCGCTGCTATTCATAACCAATCCGAACGTGTAATATTCATCTAACCTTTTTCACTTTTTTTTTTATTTTTATTTTTGGAAAGTTAGTTCGTCTAGTACGGTTTCATATAATATGCATTAAACATGCGTGACCTCTTGATATTAACTACCCTTGATTGGTTTTATTTCAGAAAAGGAGAGACAAAATCAATCAAAGGATGAAGACTTTGCAGAAACTGGTTCCCAATTCAAGCAAGGTACCTCGTTTTACATGCAACATATAGTAATCATTAGATTTTTCTGTGAGCCTACTACGTACGTACGTAAGTATGATAAAAATAAATATAGAAATAATAGTTGGTTAATTAATTAGTAGGTATGAAAATAGCTAGAGGGGATAATATGAGAAAAGGATGGTGGACCAAGCAAGTGAATGCATGTAAAGAAATGGACCTCATACGATGATTCTACTCCACACACTTATGCTCAATCTCTTATTTGTTTGTCCCCTGAAAACTTATTTTACATCTTTATTACAATTGGCCCGGTTGGTCCATTCATACGCCCCTAATTATTGTATGCCTTCTGGCTGTCGTCTCAAATTTCAACCAAAACAATTAATACAACCTACATTACATGTATAATATACACACATGCATGCATGCATGCTTGACTATATCTGTTCAGCATCCGTGGCATTGGTTTGGTTAAATATAATATATATAAAGAGTGCATGGTCTGATTACATTTTGAAATTAGACGGATAAAGCGTCGATGTTGGATGAAGTGATAGAGTACCTTAAGCAACTCCAAGCACAAGTGAGCATGATGGGCAGAATGAACATGCCTTCCATGATGCTTCCCATGGCAATGCAGCAACATCAACAGCAACAGCTTCAACTGTCTCTCATGTCCAATCCCATGGGTTTAGGGATTGGCATGGGGATGCCCGGTCTCGGTCTCCTTGATCTTAATTCTATGAACCGAGCTGCTGCTGCAGCTGCTGCAACCGCTCCCAATCTCCATGCCAACATGATGCCAAACCCATTTGTGCCCATGACTTCTCCACCTTGGGATGCCTCTTCTTCCAATGACAATCGATTTCAGTCTCCTCTCATCCCCGATCCTATGGCCGCCTTTCTTGCATGCTCCTCGCAGGTGACGAATCCTTTTTTTATATATATATACAACTTGTGCATGTGCCTTCGTCTTGTCACGAAATTATTAAGAATTTCTATATTATCTTTCGAATTGCAGCCAACGACGATGGAAGCATATAGCAGGATGGCTGCAATATATCACCAAATGCAGCAACAGTTTCCTCCTCCTTCTAATCCAAAATGATTATTAATACTTCAGCATACACCTCCAATCCTCCATATTACGTCTATGTATCATACATAATGTATGTTTTAGTCCAGCATTATTTTTTTTTTTAGCAAATTAAAGTCCAGCATATATATTTATATATAAGTACAGGGTAATAGGGTACAAAAGAACTATGATAGGCTGTAATTAGATATCGTCCGAGAAAAGATAATTATTAATCTATGTTTGAGTGAATTTGTAACCTCACTCTAAACGCACAAACGAACTCCATTTTTCTGTGACAATTGGTTTCAATATACATACAGTAGATAATCCTTCGTTTTCACGAATTGAATTATTTCACTAAGAATAACTGAAAAGCCAAAATGGAGGAGACACGAGGGCATATGCTTTGTCTGCGAAATTCCACAATAATTTGATGATAATGTTACTATGCTACAAGAAACAAAAAGAAAAAAGAAAAAGAAGAGAATATATTATTTTTAAAAGGTATTGTAAATGATTGGGTTTCAATAGGTCAACTTGGCCCTGACCATCACCACACGTTTATAAACAAAACCTAATTTTCTCTTATTAATAACCAAAAGTGACTCGAAAAATCGTGAGAAAAATGCCAAGTTAAGTAGTAATCAAATCTTCATGACCACAAGCCCTAGCTAGCTCATTTTCTTATTATTATTTTCCCCTTTTGCGAATAAAAAGATCTCATTTGTCCTTAAACAGTTAAATTATTAAACAAATATATCACTGAACTTTTATCCCTTCAGCAACGAGTAATGTCTACCAGTTCCAGCTGTTCCAAATTTATAACAACCAGCTGATAGAGAATCATATATATAAATTAATTAATAATATAAACATATCCGAAAAGGAATTTGATGTGTAAATTATATGCATTGGTACCCTGGCCTCGACTTCGAGATGCAAAACATATAAAGCATCCAATAAACCATTAGTTAGGTGATTTAAAAAAAAAACACACACATTTTCTTGGTTAGGTGAATTTTCGCCAACAATGTTTTACGTACAAAACTATATACACTTTTTTTTTTTTGGCAGCAATCTATAGTTTATATGATCGAAAAAGGACATATGAGGAAATCAAATCAAATTAGATAAGTCCAAATTAAAGTCGACACTTAACTGGTCATGATAATTAAGAATGGTATATATATACTCCCAAAAGATATGAATAGCTCCGGTTGCTGTGACTTGTGACTCGCGATGTTTCAAAAATTAAGAGTTATTTGGTGTCACATATGTTTTTTTGTGAAACAATATAGTGTTAAGAGGTAGTGATACGACGATAGAAATGTGGGGATATCACTCCTTACCACAATCTTCTTGCTGACACGCCGACCTGGTACAATGTTACCAATCAATCCTAATATTTTTGGTTTTGACAGTGTGCATGTAAGATAATTGATTTGCATATATATATTTTGGATCCGAAAATTATTTTCAATAACAAATATATTGATAATTGGGATATTGAGTTCCGGATAATAAAAAGTAAGGATTCAGATAAGAACACGAGGATGACATTAGCAGAAAGCTTAATTAATTATCGCGGTGGAGATGGATTGGGATACATATATGTGACATGTGTGGTAGTTTTAGCTATAAAAGTAAAGTCAAATGTTGGTTACATGCGATTCCTTTCACACTGACAATGAGATATCAACATTCTTACAGAAGACAATAATTTAGAAACGCATATTAGTCAACGGAATTGACCTTTTGATCTGGAAGGCTCTTACTCTCAGTTGTGTCATGTGTGTATGTTTAAGTAAATAATCATGGAAAAGTGGTTGTCATGCAACTTATTCGAGACATGGAATCGTGCGATTATTTCATCCTTTGATCGAATTCATAATACAAATTTTGATTTTCAGAGACAGCGAGTTTTGTTGACGTCTAAACTAATGAGTTTTTTTTTATTGAGACGCAAAATGGTATATGGAAGGAATACGAATACGAGGGAAGCTTTCAACAAGGGTTCGAGAGTTGTCTAAGGGCTTTCTTGTACAAGTGATTGAGGTTTATTTAACTATAATTCTGAGAGAGAGAGGTCCTTATTAGAAACAAGGAACCATAGATAGACTTGCAGCCAAAAATATATCATTCTATTCTTTTGTAATCAGTTTCTCTTCATCTACAGAGCTACTCCTTCCCACTTCAAAAAAAGCCAATTACTGTACATTAACAAACCTCGTCATATCACTGCTTCTGCGGGCTCCCTTCCCATTAGATTTACTTTGCTTGTGCCGCAATTCTCTGATATCCTCTCTCAAATCATCCTTTGATTCTCCCAAGCTTTTGATAGCCAGGCTCAGCTAGATACTTTGGCTGACCAAGCAGCATGCTTCAGACCACCAACCACAAAAACTTTGAGCCAACATCCTACTACGTACACAAGCGTTTTACATCATATGTATCTGCAACTACTGTTACTTACCGTATACTCTTTTTTGTACTTCTTTTTTACGTCAACACAACACCATCACGTAACCAAATCTGGTCGTTGTTGCGGAAGCCTATTTTCGCAATACCAATGTGCTTCCCAGCCTCTAATTACAATTCCCAGGGCAGATGCATCACATCAGCAACTTCCAGAGTTTGTGCGTATCACAATGCCACCTACCATTATGTCAATGGTGAAAAAGAAGATATCAGAATTGCAAACTATCTGTCCAAGTCTTCATGTCAGTCAAAAAACTTAATACGCGACTAGATAGTTCAGTGAATTAACACGTACAGAGAGACCATCTTGATTCCTAAGATGAAATGATACTTGGGATGATTTTTGGAAGCAACTTGTGTAGCTGTGTTCCACACGTATCACTTGGACTGGTAATGCATGTGAGCTCATTCTCCAGAACAGAGTAAGCTTCAGAAAATGCCTGCAACATAACTCATCTTTACTATCACAAAACTTCTTCATAGTACGTCTACTGTTTTAGATCAAAAAGCCTTCATAACTTACCTTAATACATTGATGTATACGGAAGCAATTTCTCCCGACATTATTTGTTGGAAACAGAGGATCATCAATGTGTATCGGATCAATACTATAAGCAGATTACCAAAAACGTGAGAATCACATAAGGTGTACAAAGTTCGTATTTTGCTTGGAGTTTGACCGAGCTGCCATGTTTACCTATAACCCCTTTCCCGATTCCTATAGATACCACTTCCTTGCACTGAAACACGCATCTGCCGAGGATCAAACACATTACTGCAAAACAAGTAAGAAGACAAGTTCACTATCTGTCCCCGTAAATTAGCAAATGTATAAATAAGAAGCAGTTATCATTTTGACTGACCCAAAAAAGTAAAGAAAATCCATTAGAAGCCGCCCAATGTTCTGCAAAATACTTCTTCTCAGTTAGTAAGAATTGCATGAATATAACAAGGACGCCTAAACAAAGATAGCTGCCCTGTTACGGAATCGCCAAACAATATAACTCAGTACTTGGTTGATAGAGCGCCCCAGATGATGCTCATGCTGAAGAAAACGTGTAATCAGTAGGACCTGCAATAATTATAGTCCTAAGAATTACAAAACATGTTTAGAGGATAGATTAAATAGATGTCTGGATATTTCTGTCCAGAACGTCATATTGGTACTAATTAGATTAGACAAGCACCAATTGCCAGGATCGACATTAAATATACAGAGACAGACCAATTGAAATCCAAAAGAAAGGAGAATTTTACTTTAAGTAAAAGAATACGGCTCACCAGGCAATAAGAGCTTAAACCACCAGAGTATGATTGATCCAGGGTACGATCAGCCAAAAACTGCTTTAACACTAAAGCAAGTGGTGTGGCAGCTGGAAATTGCTCAGTTAGATCTTTGACCTGGAGAAAAGAACATTGTAGGAGTATCAGCCAAAAGAAGGATAAAACGTTACAAAGTTACGAACACATGAAAAGAGTATAATGCAAGGAAAAACAAAAGTATGGGCTATGAAAAGCAGAATAAAAGAAATACCAGCTGTGTGGTTTGAAGACCCGTATGGGATGGAGTTTTGAAACTGATGTCAAGACGGATAGATTTTGCATTTGCCAAGCTTCCAGAGCTAGAGTTTGCTGCTGCAGAATCTTCAAATCCAACCATTTCAGTGTTCCCGTTGCTGTCCTGGTCAACGGTGATACAGTCTGGGCCCTCTTTTGGTGACTGTATACTGGATACCAGATCACAAGGGACTTCCACAACAAGCATGATGATTGGTATCTGCGCAAGCATAAACGGATCATATTAGAGAAAGGATGATGAGTAACTAACGATTGTGAATAATAAAAAAAACACAAATAAATGAGGAATTACAGCTGTATTTTCAACCGTCTTCAAGGAGTCAGTTTTTACCCACTCTTGATTTGCGAGATACCTGGCTGCATGCTGAATAGCAAAGATGATTCAGTAAAAAAACGCAACCAGTGAACTGTCAGATTTAGAAACTCTTTTTAACGAACAAAAACACAGCAGGCTCAACTATGATTCACAGGTTTGGTAGTATTTTTACAAGGCTTCCACAATAGTAAAGCAATTTCCTTCATGTGCAACATGACGTGAGCAACTAGCATATTAAAGGTCGATATATGATAATAGCTAGGCTAGCGTCGAACACAAAAACATGGAAGCAAAAATATGATCATGAAAATAAAGCAAATGTAAAAGTTAAAACATAATCATGATCGTTTACTGGTATGCAGCAGTGGCAACATCATTTCCGCAGCAAGCATACCTGAAGGCAAGTCTCCTTTATACCATTGCGACCCTCCAAAATTCCTGCCTCTTTGATAGGTTCCTGTGACATGTATTATTATGTATCAGATCTTATAGTTCAAATTTTTTTTGCATGAGGGCAATGCTTTTGGCTTTGCTCACCAAATTTCTCACTGGAGGAAGACAAACCACAAGGTCCACATCACTAGAAGGGAGGGACAAACCAGTTGCAGATGAACCAAATATGTTCGTCCTAGACCTGGGCCACAAAACTTGGAGAGAGCGGGTTACCCGCTTGATTGCCCAATTGATATAAGGTTTGCGGGACATATTCTCTGCAGCAACCTTTACGAGCGGTATATAATTCAAAGGATTAGAATAGTTGAATAGACACCATCCCAGAAAATATAAATGCAAAATTCAAAGACGCTCATATAGACCTCAGCAAACTAAAGACAGATACTGAACTCCTATGGGAAAAAAAAATGAATGAAGTGGTGTGATTACCTGCTTGCAGAAAGAATCTATCTCGTCATTAAGAAGACCGTGGATCAATGATAGAGATTCCCCTTGCGCTGGACAGTTCAATAACTCGGGTGGTTGCAGAGGGAAGGCCACGTCAGGCTGTAGAATAGGATGATAGACAATGAACAAAACGTAGACAGAGTATAACTATACATAGACGTCAAAGATGTGCTTACATGCTCCTGGTCTCGGCCTAGTTGCGACATTGCAATTAAGTGATCTTGCAGGAGGGCCCCAGGTAGAGGTTGAATGATGGGCCTAACTGCAAGGCTTTTGTTTCTCCAGGGCAAAACAACCTCCGCTCCACAAGGTTCTTCCCAGTTGACACCGTCATGAAACCAGCCTCTCATACCCCAATGCCTGGGGCTTGAACTTCCAGACCTCACAGTTGGAAAACCTCGACGCGCTCTGGAGTTGCTCACAGGAGAAGGTGGTGGTGGACGAGGAGCCCGTGGAACACATAGTACTACAGGTGATGGTGGCCGCTTTATACGAGGATGCTCGCGCCTTGTAGGTGGAACATTTGGGCTTTTAGTATCATAATTACGCTTGTATTCAGATTTTGACATATTTGGGATGATGATAGGACGCAAAATCGGGTAAGGAAGTGAGTCTCCTGAGTTTCCTTCAACATCCCCTGATAAACTAGTTAACGTTCTAGAGACTTCCTCTTCACCTGCAGCTTCACTTGTTGTTGGGGGAGCTTGCAGTACTTTAGTAGATATGTCATTACCTGGCACAACATAACCGAGAGGCTGATTTGCCGGGCCCAAGGGATCAAAAGGAGAACAGAACGAAGCCGCAGTTGGAGAAGTAAGTCCATTTGTGCTATAAGAAGACGAAAACGCAACCATATCATCAACAGACCTCTTCATTTCAGCTTCATGCCAAGCCCAAGAGCTATCATCAGAACTAAGGGACGGAGGGCGAGAAAAGCCAGTCCCTAGATGATCAGAAGGATTCCAATACATGACTCCACCACCAAAATATTGATTATAGTCTACTCCAGAGACAGTGTGCATCTCAAAATCTTCCTCCAACATCCAGTTATGCTCGCATTCATTCCCTAGCTCGGGATTGTTCTTCTGTTCAGGAATGTCCACCAGAATTCCAGAATCATAATTGCAAGCGAATGCTGTTGTCAAGCCGCAGTTGCTATGAACCATGGGAGGCCAATCTAGACTCATGGGGATGGGTCGAGAGAGAACTTGTTTGTGGGTACCTTCAATGGAAGGATTTCTAGCATGATGCACAGAGGACACAAAAGGTTGGCGTACATAAGGATGCAAATTGTGACCAACATCAAGATGAAGTCTATCGGTGGCAGTTGGAAGGTGAGCATTAACATGTGAAAAGTACATGGGAGCTACGGCAGGCCACTCATAAGAAAAAAATTCTGAACTGCTGGAGGCAATACCATAACCTGCTTCTCTTCTCTGATGGTGAATCCACTGGGATTCCCCTTCCTCCAAAGTTCTGGATCGCCCATTAGACCTCGTCAATATGTCTTTACGAGATTTTTGAGAGTTCTCGCAGCTTGAACCACCGGCAGGATCCGCAGAGGTCAAAATAGATGAAATCACATCCGTCTCAGTTTTGTCGTGCAATTCATCCTCTCCAGAACACTCACATTTAACTGCACCATTTACAGATGCACATGTACCTGAGCCATTCTTATCACAGCTGACTGAACCATGCTCTCTAATACTCTGAGCATCCATATTTTCCACAGGAAGCTGACTGGCAGAAGTACAGCTTGAATCACATTTGGGAACTTGTTCGATGGCAAAACTATTCACTGTGGACTTATTCGCTTCCCCGGTGCTTTCTAAACTTGTACACTTCTTATTCTTATTCTTTTCTTTCCTTTTCTTTTTAGCTGTTCCTTTCCTGGCAACTAACCCTGGGACAACCTCCTGATAAATATTATCAGTTTCAAAACAAGATGAGTTATGTTTAGCGAAAATATGAGGAAGGAAAATAATTCACCATATTTGCTGCAGAGGCCTCGGAACAACTGATCATTGTTGGTGCTGTAGGAACTTTCTTGAATTCTACCGCATGTTTGCCTTTGTTAAGTTCCAACTTAGCTTGATCTTTCTGGAGATATCTTCAGCGATCAAGTTCAAGTGCCACACAAATGTTTATGAAAATAAAAGAATCTGTGGACGGAGAGAAAATATGTACCTTGAGGCTTTTCTCGGACAAAATCAGGTTTTTATTAGATTTAGGCTTTTCTGTGGATGGCTTATTCATGTTGCCGGGGTTTCCTTTCTTTTTACGGCCGGTCGAACCAAGACTCTGCTTGGATGATGAACTTGGGGAACACTTGTGAGTATTGTCTTGAAGAAGCTCAAGTTTAACAGAATCAACAGAGGCTACCATAAGAAATCCCCGTAGTTTTCTTAATATGCAATCAGCTAAAGTTGTGAGAGAAGCTAATGAGCTGAAAAAAACACTCTGTAGTGGAACTGAACCATTTTGGCATGAGATGAGCAATGAAGCAAATTCTTGAAGCAGGTATAAGGCACTTAAATTACTGGCTACGGTAGAGTCTGGTTTCAAAATCATGTCAAAGAATGAGGCTGCGGAAGTATCCGTACGCCCTTCCCTTGAGGTGCCCCCACCAAAATTGAAGAGCCACAATTCTCCCTGGGGTGCTTGATTTGCTTCTCTGAGAATCTCATATATCTGAGTGTGAGTGACAGCAGAAATTTAGATGAAATCAAACTGCATATACATATACAGACATGTAATGGAAAAGCAACTTTTATTGTAAAAGAAAAGCAACTCCAGAAACTGAATAACGGGAAGCCAAGAAGTAAGTATCTATGAACATTCCTAGTCCATTTGTCATAGCGTATAATATTCCCTAGTTGCTGTTCTCTACTCTCTAGTCAATAGTCATCATCTATAAAAGTTCCAGGTAGAGGTAATACGTTAATTTTGACATACCAGAGGTTTTGCTGACTTGCCGAACAAACTAGTCCAGATTTGCTTGTGTGTTGCGGCATCCAAATTCTGCCACCAATCAACACAGGCCTTGTTCCTCCAATATGCATTTGCTGCCGCAGCAGCATCCTTCAGTTTCTCTTTCAATTTCAGTTTGATTCCTCTTTTCTTGCCACTATTGGTGTTGGTGTTCAACCAAGCTAGTCTCAAGCTCACCTCTAACCTATTTGCGAGGAAGGCTTCCATTGTATAGTAGCCTTTGGCTTTGAGCCACTCCAGTTCCACCCAATTCGACCCCAGATCACTCTCTTCCCCTCTCAGGAATTCCCCATTCGATAACGCATCCATAGCCTCCACGAAACGATCCACGTCGGTGAGAAATTCCTCGGCCATGAGGACCGAGTCGAGGGAATTGACGGAGCAGGAGCAATTTTGAGTCGCCTCTCCTTGCGTAGAACCAAAGAGCCGGGTGGAGTCGAAAACAGAACGCTCAGAGGCGTTGGACTCGGCAGCCCTGGAGATTAAGCCGCGAGATTTTTTGAAGCAGAGGGTGGGAAGATCGAGGGAAGGGAGGTCTGGGAGGATGATGAAAGAGCCACGGCCTTTGGTGCGGATGTAGCCGAGCATCTGGAGCAGAATTTGGACGAACTTGGGATCAACGAAGGTGAGGTGAGAGAGGCGCTGGTGGAGGCTGAGAGAGGAGAACCATCGGAGGATCGCCGACCTAGGATTACTAGGTGTGGAAGAATAAGAAGAAGAATGGGAGTGGTAGAGAGCGATGTGAGATGTGAGAGAATCGATTAGCTGTTTCTGAGCCATGGACGACAGGACGAGCCAGAGCAGAATTTCGGAGGGAGAAAGAAAGAAGAAATGGTTAGAGTTGCGGAAGCCGGAGAAATAGTCCCCGATTACTCTCTCTCTCTCCTTCCTGGCTTGCCGGAGAGCTACGATTACGAACGGCTAATAACTTAAACCAACCGGTAATGGAACCGGTCTTCAGTAAATCATTCAAAATATATTTTAGTTTAAATGGGCCTTCTAGATTAGGGCCCGTTGTTATTGGGCATTGTACAGAGACAAATTTATTGTGAAACAGATCTTCTCTTGGATGGACGACGAGTATGTAGAGTTTTTTTTTTTTTTTTTTTTTTTTTTTTGCTAAGAATGTAAATATCATTAAAAATGAAATGTTTAGGTTTTACATATTGGAAATCAAAATGTTTCACCTATCTTAAACGGTCCCATGGCAAAAAAAGGTAAAAAACATGGAAGCGTAATACAACCGGTACTTTGTCGAATTTTCTATAAAGTGCTCGTGAGCCCATAGTAGAGAATGTAGAGTTGTAGACGTATCAACCTGGTTCTTGCAATTAAAAATCCAATGTCTCCGACAATCGACAAGACACGCATTGAGTTTATATGTGTGGTCGGATCGGATGGGATGGAATATAAGCTTTGCTTTTTGCTTAAAGAGTTAAATAAGGATCTTGTTGGCCACGAGAGGCTTCTTCTATATACCCTTTTCTTTCTTTTCCGCTACCTGCCGCACCCTCTGGGTCAACACTCACTAGTTCACGTGTGTGTCTTCCTATAACCATATTGAATATCAACTTATATTTAGACAGATTATGTTTCATAATAACGTAGATCCTCTTGCGTACATATATGCCCAAAAATATGCATGGTTGCAATTGCATCTAATATAACGTAATATTAGTCAACTGCCTAGCTAGCTAGCTAGCTATAAAAAAAAAAGAAGATTCAGTCACGTTCTAAATTGATTTTTATGCAATTTTATAAGAATGTCATTAAATTATGGTACCTGCCTGCTTTCCGGGCTTCTTCTTAGGACCTTCCTTCAAATTCTAGCTAGCTCATCAATTTAACTAACAAACAAATTCAAATCCAAGTCAAGTGATCTTAAATCCAGCTCATTCCTCCTATCTATCCACGTGCCATGCATATTGACCGATGCATCTCTCTCTATATAAAACACCCACAGAGACGTGTCATTATACTTATACCATCGACCGATATAATCAGCTCCCATACAGAAGAATTCTTTGGTCAGTTCCCAAATTCGCCATGGTGGCTCACAACGTCAAACTGATCATCCTCCTCGTACTAGTCTCCCTGTTTCCACACATCATCTTCCCCGCAACCACCACGTCAGCAAAAGAATACGACACGAAGGCCTACGTGGACTCATGGTGCCGGACAACCTTATACCCGAAATTGTGCGTCCGGTCGCTGTCTCGTTACGTGCATTCACGGGCGATGCAAAATCCACGGGACCTGGCCCGATTCGCGCTCAAAGCGAGCCTCTACCGAGCCAAGTACACAAAGGCATTCTTGTTAATAGAGGTAAAGAACCTGGAGATCACGTTGCGGCCTCAATACTACGCATTGGTCCACGACTGCTTGACCCAGATCAGAGACAGCGTGAACCAGCTGAGCCAAGCCATAGCGGAGCTGGACAGGGTGAGCAGGAGAGGCGGAAAGAGCCAAGGGGCTCTGGACTGGCACATAAACAACCTGCAGACGTGGACAAGCACAGCTCTGACAGACGCGGAGACTTGCGTGAGTCAGTTTCCGGGGCGGAGGATGAGCAAAGTGAAGGCTACGATCAAAGGGAAGGTGAAGAATGTGGAGGAAAGCACTAGCAATGCCCTCGCCTTCATCCACCACTACGCTGCTGCTAGATACAGAGCCAGACGCCCCTGACCCTACTTGTCTTCTTTGATCATCTTAATTATCTTGGCCTTAGTTTGTACTTTGTAGTATTTTGCTACTTGTTGATTTGGTAATTATTAATTACACGGATGATTTCTGTTTTAAATTTGTAATCAACAAAATATTTACAGTATGTAAATTAAAAAACTCATATGATTCTATCGTTTCATAATAACTACGCAAGTCATTAAGGAAAGTTCCATGCTTAAAAGACTCGAGAAAACATCCATTTTCAGAGGTTATATATGTGTTAGATGAAAGTAATAGCAAAGCCCGTCTAGCTCAGTTGGTAGAGCGCAAGGCTCTTAACCTTGTGGTCGTGGGTTCGAGCCCCACGGTGGGCGTTGCTGTTTTTTTCTTTTTTCAAATTGTGTTTTTGCATATTACCGAAAATGGGCCAGTAATGATGTAAAAGCCCACGTAAATCACGAATATAAGCCTAACGCCTAAAAAGCCCTATTAACTGAAATTAGGGTTAGTGTTTGTCATCAACAGCAGTCAAGCAAGCGAGAGAAAGGAGAAGAAGGAAATTGAGAGGGAGGGAGAGTGAGAGAATCTATAGCACACAATGGGGCGTATGCATTCTGGAGGGTTTGTTTTTTTCCTCTTCCCCTTCTTCTTGGTCTTCCTCTTGTCATCGTTAATTGTGAAATGTAACAAATGATAATGTTGTTCCTCTTGGTAATTGTAGAAAGGGTATTTCAGCGTCTGCGTTGCCATACAAGAGATCGCCTCCGAGCTGGCTCAAGACTACCTCTCAGGATGTAAGATGATTTCCTTTTTTTATGGTTTTATGTTTTATTTACAGAGAGGTTCTTTTGTTCAAGTTTCAAGTAGTAGCTAGCTAGATTGGTTGAATTCAATCCGGTCCCTTTTACAGGTTGATGAGTCAATCTGCAAATTCGCGAAAAAGGGATTGACCCCTTCACAGATTGGTGTGATTCTCCGAGACTCTCACGGGATTCCTCAGGTCAAGAGTGTCACTGGAAACAAGATCCTCAGGATACTCAAGGCCCATGGTGTGTGTCTCTTTTCATTCATTCATTTCATCTCTCTATGGTTTTTCCATTTGATGGTCCATTTTGTTGTTGTTATTGGTGGTCTGATTAAACATATTTATTGGTTGGTTGGTGTCAAGGCCTTGCTCCTGAGATCCCAGAGGATCTGTACCACCTGATCAAGAAGGCTGTAGCGATCCGTAAGCATCTGGAAAGAAACAGGAAGGACAAGGACTCCAAGTTTAGGCTCATCTTGGTCGAGAGCAGGATTCACCGCCTCGCTCGCTACTACAAGAAGACCAAGAAGCTCCCTCCCGTCTGGAAGTAGTGAGTCCCCTGATTTGATCCAGTAAAAACTTGGTTTGTTCTCTATTCTTAACACTGACTAATGGGCATTTACCCTCTTCATCTGCAGTGAATCCACAACCGCGAGCACCCTTGTGGCTTGAGCAGGAGACTAGTTTCAGCTTTTTGGTTTCTACAAGTCTCTCTGTTGCTTCCCTTTTTGTTTTGATGAATGATGGAATTCTCAAGTTTGCTCTTTTTTAACTCTCAGGATTTTGATATGTTTCAAGTGTCAGGATTATCTTATGCTCCCTTCTTTAGTCATAAAATCACTATTGAATCCTTTCTACATCTTATGCTCTTTACATTAAGAGAATCGTGTGATCATGAAATCACCGTTGGAGCAGTCCCTTTTTTCTTAAGGCATTAGCTACCATTACAGTGAATGATCCAAGTTATTGCTTTAGGTGATTTTGAACAAAGTGGTTAAAGAATGTAATCTCGAATTTATGGTTCTATGGCAAGTATAAATCGTCTGAGTTAAAACATATACGTGTGAGAGAGAGAGAGAGCAGGCCAAAGAAGCAACAAAGGAGCAAGCAAGTGTTAAGTGAAAGTGAGAAACAATGGCAAGAATCTCGAATCAAAAAAAGAGAGAGCGGCTCACACAGCTACAGAGTGACTCAACTAGAAGCTTTCTTGCCGCCTTTGTAGTAACCCAGATACCATCTGGCAAACTTCTTAAGACCCGTCTGGAGATCGGTGGTGGGTTTGTAACCGAGCTCTCTCTGCGCGGAACTGATATTGGCATGAGTGAACTGCACATCCCCGTTCCTGGGCAGCTTCGTGATGTTCCTCTTGGCCTTCACTTTGAGAAGTCTCTCCAGAATGGTGACCAGATCAGAAACCGGAACCGGCGAGGTGTTGCCGAGATTGAACACCCTTAGCTGAGCCGCACCGCGCTTCTTACCACCAGTCCCTGTGCTCTTCTCTGCGGTGTCGAGAGCCCCCAAACATCCCTTGACAATGTCATCAATGTAGGTGAAGTCCCGAGCCACAGTGCCGTGGTTGGCGCCCTCAAAGATGGAAATGGCCTTCCCTTTGAGAATGTCTCTGGTGAAGAAGAAGTAGGCCATGTCCGGTCTTCCCCAGGGCCCGTAGACGGTGAAAAACCTCAAGCCGGTGAGAGAGAGGCCGTAGATGTGGTTGTAAGTGTGGGCAATCTCTTCGCCGGCTTTCTTGGTAGCAGCGTAGAGACTAGCTGGCTGGTCGGTTCTGTCCTTCTCCGAGAAGGGCACTCTGGTGTTCAATCCGTAGACGGAGCTGGAGGAAGCCCACACGATCGCCGGCTGGGGATTGGCCGATTTGCAGACCTCGAGGAGATTGACGAATCCGGCGATGTTGCTGTGAACGTAGGAGCTGGGGTTCTCCATGGCGTACCTGACCCCGGCCTGAGCGGCCAAATGCATAACGTGGGTGAAGGGGACGACTTCGAAGAGCTTCTTGAGGAGCGCGGCGTCGTTGATGTCTCCCTCCACCACGAAGACACCGCTGCGCTCCAGGAGGGCTTGCCTCGCTCTCTTGAGAGACGGATCGTAGTAATCGTTGAAGTTGTCGAGGCCGAGGACGCCGTCGCCGCGTCGCTTGAGGGCGGCGGAGACGTGGGTGCCGACGAATCCGGAGGCGCCGGTGACGAGAACGGAGACGCCGTGGCGGGTGCGGACGCGGGCGGAGGATCGGACGCGTTTCTCCCAGGCGGGGCCGCCCCAGGAGTAGGTGCGGAGGGAGCGGCGGGAGGGATCGGAGGAGGCGGGATTGGAAGAGGGAGATCGGTAGAAGAAGATGAAGATGAGGCCGAGGAAGACGAGGGACCAGAAGGCGAGCTTGGCGACGGAGGATTGCCACCGGGTGCGGTGGAAGTAGGGAGATTTATCCATCTTGAACTTGCCCGGGGTTGAAGGAATATCATCGAGACGCGACATTGGCTTCATCCAAATTCCAACAAATTATTTACCTCTACAATCTAGATCTCTGCTTGCTTAACGCTCTGCGCTTATGGCGTCCCGAGAATCTCTTCTTGGTTTGTTCGGTGAGCGTTTATAGGCCCTCCGATTTGCAAGGGAAGCTCAAGAAATCGAAATTCCCCAAGATTTTGTTTTTTCTATTTTTGGGGCTCTTTTTTTTTGTTTTCTTATACACAGAAGAAGAATGATGAATGCGGATGGTCAACACAGAGACGCTGAGGAGATGATGGAGAGTCAAAGCTACTCTCCCTTTTCTCCTAACTACAACAATCTAATTTATTCTTTTCAGAGGTTTTTGTTTGCTTACTTACTTTCACTAATTCTTCATTTCTAGTTTTCTTCTTAATTTAGCAATATTAACTTTTGGTTTTACAAGAATCAAAATGATCAATTAGCGTGGGAGATGGATTTTTGGGCCGTTGATATATAAATTTAGTCTTGTTAATTATGCAAAATTGTCCTTCTAACCGTAAAATCATATACACTACTTAACTCATCAAATTCGATGCATGCACTCACTAATAATAGCCATATACAAATATACAAAAATACGCACACAAATACATGTTTAGGTGCAGCCCAAGATCGTCACGTGGACACTCTCGACGGTGGATAGTAAATTTTATTAGTTACACTGAACTTAGTATAATAACAACTTAATGCCCAAGGGTTCAAGAGCAAAGAACAATCTCTTACTTCTCCTCAAAGTGCCAAACCCACAACGTTTGCAAAGCCTTCCAAGATAATCAAACCAATGGTGAAGACTTACTTCAACACACAAGTCTCTCAATTTGAAAAAGCTTTTAGATGGATTTCGATACACATTCACTCAAATATTTATATTTACCTTTTAGAATTGTAAGAGACTATGGATGAAAGTTCATTTATTCTCAAACACATGCCGGCTCATTCCCATTAGAATGTTGCTACTCTTTCTAGACACTGGGGAAGAAAAATATCACAAAACAAACTGTAGCCTAAAATGTAAGAACCGAATGCTTTCAATTCCAATGTTTTTTAGCATTTGGAGGTTTGTGTAATATATATATATGTACGTTTGGATCAAGAGAGATGTGGTACTTTTGAACATCCAAAAGAAGCATGCTTTTTCAAACGTCTATATTTGTAACAAACACATACTTTATTTTAATATGCATCTCGACTCAGCCTTGTTCATTTAATAAGTTCATTTCATTTTTTTCTGAATAATACTTTATTTCTTTGCTTTTCACATTTCTTTTTCCGGTCAAATAAGTTACATGCTGATGCACTATACAGATTTAAGATACTTGTATATTTTTTATATGAGTTTTCTATTCTAGTAAGAGGGGAACTTATTACTTATACTTCTAGTTTCTTCATCGTTTCCGTTGCATTCATGTCGGGGATAGGAGAGAAATTTGATTATTTCGGAAATTCTTATACCAAATGCAATTAAAACATTGCAGTTTATCTAATAGCTATGCACTCTATTCATATACATAACTGATATTGTATTCAAACAAGTATTTCCTATGTTCTTGATCGGAAATATGCAGGTAAAACTTGCATACGAATATACGATCAAGCCCCTAATCCTTATTACCTCCATAGAAAGGAATACAATCAAAATCATTATTCAACCATGCATATATAAATTAGATAATATATATCAATATGAAGAGTTGAAGACACACATCATTTCTCTTAATTATTACAGTAATTATAATCAATCGACATACAACCTTCTAACAAACACCTTATTCGAGCATGCATCTATATTACATATGAAAATGAAAACGCTTGTCGGAATGACACCATATATGATATATGTCTAGTTAAACGAGCTAGTGTGCAAGTGCAATTCATCAATAAGCAATCGAAAGACATAGATATGTTGAGATATATTAGGATTGGTAATAACAAAGGGAAGAGGGGTCAGACATAGGAGCTCCAAGCTGAGAGTGAGGCTGAAGAAGCCTCACCTGCCGTTTCAAGAACTTGGTGTAACGGATGGCTTCGTCGAGCATGGAGGCTGTGTCCATCTTTGCACCGCCTGGTACCATCCTCTTCAATATTCGGATCTTCTCACTTATCCTTTCCCGACGCCGACGAGCCACCACCGTCTGAGGGTCCTCGCTTACCCTTACGTTACGGCGGTTTGGCTTAGGAACAGTGGCTGGATCGATGTCTACGGGCTGCATGGCCGCGATCATGTATTGCATCTCCTTCATAGCATCCATTTCAGCTTCTTCGTCTTCTTCGTCTTCTTCTTCTTCTTCTCCTTCTCCTCCTCCTCCGTGGTCGGAGAAAAGTGTCGGCGGAGACGACTGGAAGTGACTTAGGGTTTCGGGAGGTGGATCTATCATGAGATGAGGATCGTGGAGGAAGGGGTGTTCGTGCGTGATGAGATCATTAGGTCTGTTCCAATTCATGAGGAGATGATGAGGCTGAGGCTCCATCATGATTATTGGGGTTATGACTTATGTGTGGATCTACTTTTATGTTTTAATTTGGACAAGAGACTTGCACACCTTTCTTTTTATACATACCATTTTCCATTTTCATCGTCTTCTTTTTTATTTATTTATTGCTATTTATATTTTTATGTTTTTACTGATTTCCTTGACCCCATTATTTAACTTCATTTCCATATGTACCATGTCAATGTATCAATGCGTATCTGCCTCTAACCACATATTTTATATGAGTGAATTGATAATACATTGCAGGTAAAATTAATGTGTTTGAACTATATATTAAAAAAGAAATGAAGAGGTTTTTATCAGCATAACTTCACATCACAATTTGGGTTTCAGTTCCCACGGTATACAACATTTTATTAGGTTATGTAGGCAAGAATTTCAAACTGGATTGAATGTGATGCAAGTTTTTCCTAGAATCAAACTTGCTTCATTGAGGTATCTACGAAGATTCAAACTTGCTTTATCTTGGGTTTGATTAGTTGTGTTCATGGAGCTTTAAGTGGCTAATCGTTCTCCAATGCAGCGGACAAAATAATTAATTTGGGTAGGGTTGACTTTATTTGTCATTAGCCGATAAAAATGATTAGTAAAGTATTTTCGAGTAATTGCTCAAGTATAGATATATTGATTCACCAATATTAACATGACCCAAAATCTAAAACCACTTACAGCTAT